ATTAAATCATCATTGCTCCATCCTCATCCTCACAAGACGTGTGTGTGTGTGTGTGTGTGTGCTTTGAACACAAGCATGTGCACATATTCTCTGCATCTAAATTTCCCTTTTTATAAGGACACAAGTCATATTGCATTATAGGCCCATGCTAAAACAATGTGAACTCATCTTAACTAATTACATCTTTAGGGACCCTATTTTCAAATAAAGGCACACTCCCTGGTACCCATGGATTATGATTTCAGCATATGAACAGGGATGGGAATGGGTGGGGCAGGATTCATCCCTTAACACTGAACAAAGGCCATTTCATAGTGACTCTCCCAAGCTCCTCTTGTATGCTTTCTATGACTGCCCCAAGTCAAGAGCAGTAACAGCCGAATCTCTGAGTTGCCAGGAAGTAGCCGAAGGGGATTTAAAAAAAAAAAACCCTTGTGGAGAATGGCAGGCGTTAAAAAGGCTGACTCATCAAGGGCCTTCTTAGAAGGCAACTCAGTCACAACAGACACTGGAGGAGTGTCTGGGTGGCAGCCTCCCTTCTGAAGACAACCTTCGGGAAATCTAAGCTAGTCGTGGCAGCTGCTTAGCTGCACCATCCCATTCTGTAAGTCGCTGTGCCATGATCATGTTCCTAGAGAGCCAGCTGAGGTTCAGGAAGGGCAGCGACCAAGTCACCCACTGGATGTGTGGGAACCAGGACAGAAGGCCAGGCAGATTCTTTTCTGCCCGGCACTCTCTCAGGAGTACCTGTATCAACCCTGAGACTCCAAACTCCGCCTTTCAGCACTAACTACAGGCTTTGACTCTAACCTTCCCTCAAAACCCCTGACCCACCTAAAGATCGGCAAGTCACCCCATAATCTTTTCAAGAGGCCTGGTGGCTGGGTAGCCTGTAATTTCCTTCGCTCGCATCGCCCATTCCCACAAGGAACAGATGGGCTCTGGATGGGACAATTGCTGGTATTTAGGAGACTCCGGATTGGCTCATCGTCTGGGCTGATGGTTTTCCAGCAGCCACAGTCCACAGAGGATTGTCTGCAGCGCCTGGTTTTAAGGGGTTGGAGGCAGATCCACAAAGCAGAATTTTGTTCCCCACCCCCTTTCGAGGAGCAGCCAGCATGTCCACAGGGGTCCTACGCATCTGAAAATGGAAAAATCACTAAAGCCCTTAACCAATTAACTTTCCTTCAACTTTCTGCCACGTACCACTCACAAGTAACATAAGAAACCCTTTTCCTGCTGCCTGTAAGGACAGCCTGAAAATGGTTAGCACAGATGGCTGGTTAGCCTGAGCCACAGGGAGGGAAATGTAGGATGCTAATGTTGCTTTTTTTATATGAAGCATTGCATAGTATTAATAAATACTTATTTTTCAGGGTCAAACACCACAATATGTACCTATCCCTAAAAACGCTTGCAAAATAGGCAATAACTGCTCTAAATAAACAGTCCCTGAATGGCTCATAAATAAATACAAATAGGAAAATTAACAACAGGAAAGAAGAATTTTGTGTGTGTAGGCTGACAGGGGTGGGAGGAGGCCACAAGGGGTGTCCATGACTCAGTCTTGTCCTCGCTGGTACCCTTAGCACAGCAGAAAGGCAGGGCCACCCGCATGCACAAGGACAGGCTCTGCCTGGAAAAGGAAGCCTGGGAGGGGAGCTCTGGAGCTCTCAGGGAATAGAAAAGCCTGGGATGGATGGCTCTGATTGCACTGATGGTTGCATAACAACATTGTACTTAATGCCTATTAGTTATAGTCTTTAAGAGGGTCAACACGGGAAGGGGAAAGGAACTGTAAAGGTAGTAGTAGGCCCTGGGTCCAGGCTTTGTACTGCCACCACACACACACACACACACACACACACACACACACACACACACACACCAAGAAGGTAATTTTGTTTTGTTTTGTAAATGTGATCAAAGTTATATATATATATGTATGTATAAAGATATATGTATGTATACATATACATACATATATATATATACATGCACACACACACATTGAGTACATAATTTGCTTTGGTACTCAGAAGAAAGAGTAAGCTTAAGAAAATTGCTGGGCAGTGGTGGCTGACACCTTTAATCCCTGCACTCGGGAAACAGAGACAGGCGGATCTCTGTTAATTCAAGGCCAGCCTGGTCTACAGAGCCTGTTCCAGGACAGTCAGAGGTACACACAGAGACTCTGTCTCGAAAAACCGAAAGAAACAAAGAAAAAAGAAAACCATGCGTGGCATGCTGGTTTTGACGCGATGCTTTTCCTCCAGCATAGCCCCTCCAAATGACAGTAGGCTTCCGCACAGCCCTGAGGAACAGTCAAGGGTTCAAGGGCAGGGTAGGCTAAAGACAACCATCTAGACCCAAGCTCTGGTTGGCATCAGGATCCGGGTAGAAAGAATGGAACCTATCCTAGCCACCTGCGACTCCACACCCAGAGGAGCAGTTGTGTGTATTCTCTGACCTCTGCAGGCATCTGCACCTGTGTGGTGCACGGACACACATGCAGACAGAACACCCACATACATGAAGTTAAAACAAAAGAATGAAGTCTAATTGTTGTCCTTGAGTTCTCTGCCCTGTCATTCCCAGTATATTTTTTTTAAGGAAAGTCCAAGTGAAAGAGAAATGCTTTGGAGATTCAAGATGTGATGTTTACACTACCTTTGTGTGTGTATGTGATTGTAAGAAGGAAGAATTGGGTGTAGTTCACTACCTGTGAGGTTGTTATGTTATGTCGAGTTTGTTCCGTTTAAACCAGAGATGCTACCTGGTAAAACACGACACACCCTTTCGGGTCCCAAGATATACAGAAACAAAATGTGCCAAATTTAAATATGCATTTCTAAAACAAGCATGCTTAGATAAGCTGTTACTTAAAAATTGAAACAGGCAGTGGTGGTACATGCCTTTAACCTCAGCACTCAGGAAGTAGAGGCAGGTGGATCTCTGTGAGTTCAAGGCCAGCTTAGTTTACCTAACAAGTTCTAACAAGTGACAGGACAGCTAGAACTAAAAAAAAATACTTAATACTTGTGGCAACAACATTCAATAACAAACCAAGAAGAGAAATAAAATGACCATATGTTGAAGTCAGATACATTTGTGAGCCTCTATTAACCAGTCCCTGATACTGTAAAGTCATTCAAGACTCAGTGAGAACTTTTACATCTTATATAAAATAAATTTACCCCTTTACTCCTTTTTTGTGTATAGTTCAGTCTTGTTAAGTTGATGTACAGTGTTCTATAACTCTCAGCACCACCCATATCCAAGGCATTTTCATTTGTCCCAATGGAAACTCTTGAATCCACTGAACAACATCTGAGCTCAATAGTTTTATGTCAGCTTGACACAACCTAGTCACTGGAGATGAGGGAGCCTCAACTGAGAAAATGCATCCATAAGATTAGGCAAGCCTATAGAGCATTTTCTTAATTAGTGTTTGATGTGAGAGGGTCCAGCCCATTGTGGTTGCGGTCGCCCCTGGACTGATGGCTAGAAAAAAGCAGGTTGAGCAAGGCATGGAGATCAAGCCAGTAAGCAGTACCCTCATGGCCTCTGTATCAGCTCCTGCCTCTCAGTTCCTGCCCTGCTTGGGTTCCTGTCCTGACTTCCTTTGATGATGAACAGTGATGTGGAAGTGTAAGACAAATAAACCCTTTCCCCTTCAACTTGGTTTTTGGTCACGGCGTTTCATCACAACAATAAAAACCCTAGCTAAGACAACATCATTCAATCATCCTTCCTTTCCAAGGATAACACCATTCTACCAGTTTCTTCTAATTGATATCATCAGAATCATGTAGTTATTTGTGCATGTGACTGAGTGTGTGTGTGTGTGTGTGTGTGTGTGTGTTAGTTTACTATTGCTGTGATAAAATGACATGACCAAAAGCAACTTTGCGAGGTGTCTTAGTTAGGGTTTCTATTGCTGTGAAGAGACACCATGGCCACAGCAACTCTTACAAAGGAAAGTATTTCATTGGGGTGGCTTGCTTACAGTTTCAGAGGCTCAGTTCATTGTCATCATGGTGGGGAGCATGGTGGCCTGCAGGCAGACATGGTGCTGGAGAAGTAGCTGAGAGTCCTATATCATTCAGGCAACAGGAAGTCAATTGAGAACTGGGTGGTATCCTGAGCATAGGAAACCTCAAATCCCACCCACACAATGACACACTTCCTCCAACAAAGCCACACCTCCTATGAGATTATAGTGCCACTCCCTGTGAGATTATGCAGACCAATTATGTTCAAACCACCACAGGAGGAAAGGATTTATTTGGCTAACTCATTGCAATCACAGTCCAGCGTGAGAGAAAGTCAGGGTAGAGACTCAAGCAAGAACCTGGAGAGTGGAATTAAACAGAGGCTTGGAGATCTGCTACCTACTGACTAGTTTTCCATAGTTTATTCTGCTATTTTATACAACCAGGATCACTTACCCTTGGGTAATGCCACCCACAGTGGGCTGGGCCCTCCTAAGTCAATAATTAATCAAAGAAATACCCAACAGACAAATATAATGGAAGCAGTTCTTCAATTGACATTCCCTCTTTCCAGATGACTCTGACTTGTGTCAAGTGGACAAAAAGCTAACTAGTACATGTATGTATGTATGTACGTATGTGTGTGTGTGTTTATGTACATGTATATATGTGTGTGCATGTGTGTAGATGGTTGTATATATAAATGTACACGTGTACATGTGTTTATACTTGTTTGTATATATAAACTGGTTTATTGTTTTTAGCTGGTTTATTGTAGTATATAACTGATTTCCTTCCTTTTAGATCCATGAACATTCCATTGGATGTATTTCTCACATTTTGTTTGTTCATCCATCCTTTAACAGAAGTTTGGGGTTGCTTCTGCCTTTCAGCTATCGTGTGTAATGCTGCCATGTGCCTAGATGAGTGAATGTTCAGTGGAAATGATGATTGGTGAGCTCTGAGTGTCCAGAAGAATAAAATAAGTGGCCTCTCTCACACTAGTACTGAGAAACCATTTATTTCATGGAATTGGACATGTTAGAGCAGGAAATGATTATAAAACCATCATCTCTATTTATTTACAGACAAGGAAACAGACATAAAGGAACTAAACAAGGATGGATTATAAAATGTGCAGTCTCTTGCAAAAGGGTATTGGAAAGGAACCCCTCTCCCAGGCAAAATTATCTACATGGCTTGTCATGTCACATACCTCAAATTCCCTATACTGGAGATATATTTACTTGGATGAAGACACTGGTAATATCACCAGGAATCTCCTAGTAAAATATAAATAGCTCCAAGGGAAAGTCATTGCTGACCCACTGTTCCCTTGTCTGGGAACACTGGTTTTCCACAGAACAGGAAGCTTAGAGTAGGGTGCTGAAGGAACAGAGCTGCACCAATTGGGGGGAGGGGCAGGAGGTGTGTCATGTGTAATCCTGAGTACAGATGTTCCACAAGATACAAACACCTTGTTCGGGGTCCAAGCATCCGGCAGTCACTAGTACCAAATTCAGAGCTAAAGGTGTGGGAGAGTTGTGGGCATACCTTTAACCCCAACACTTGGAAGGGAGAGGCAGGTAGATCTCTCAGAGTTCAAAGCCAGTCTGGTCAATTCCAGGCTAGACAAGGCTATAGTGAGACCTTGTCTCAAAAACAAACAAACAAACAAAAGACAAAAGGTTCAAGACTAAGCTAGCTGTGGTGGTACACATCTGTCATCCTAGCATTTGGAGGGACAAGGCAAAGATCTTAAGTACTTAGTTAGCCTGAACTGCATAGTATGACTCTCCTTCAAAAGGGAGAGTGGGGCTGGGTGTGGGGGTGCACACCTTTGATCCATCCCAGCACTCTGAAGATAGGCAGATCAATCTCTGTGAGTTCAAGATCAACTCAGTCTACGCCGTAAGGTCCAGGGCTACATGGAGAGAGACCTTGTCTCAAAGGGTCTTTAGGTCACAAAGGCAACTTACAGTATATTGTGCTTCATTTCAAAGTACATGCCTTCCAAATGTGACTTTGTGCTGTGACTTGAGTCTAGGTGTTAATTTTGCAGGTCCTTCACCATCTAAGACATACTCATTATTTTCTTCAGCAAAAATTTTCCCTAACAAAGTGAGGGAGTCATTTTTTTCTTCAGCAAGTTCAAACTTCCACACTACATGTGTCCATGATGATGCTGAGGCAGTTCTGTCAGTAAAATGCAGCTTTCTGGGACCAAAAGAACTCCATTTTGATGCAGCGCATGAGCACAAGCATTGGAAGAGTCCTTAGCTTCTGCTGATGCTGCCGCCTCCTTAACTCCTCAGTAGCAAGGGTGACTCTCCAAGGGAGCATTGCGTCCATCTCCAGTCCCAGCTCTGGGGTGCTCACACCTCTGCTGGGGAACAACTGTAAGTTCTGGAAAGAGATTATGACCGCCCAAGGGAAGCATATGTCTACGTACATACTGACAACACCACAAACGATGAAAACAGTGAGCAATCCTAAAAAACAAGGAAGTGAGACTAGAAACCCTTCAGGCAGGGGATAGCTGTTACGATATGTGGCACATGGGACCTTGGCAGGCCCCGTGGCAGACAAGGGGCAAACACACCATCAGGCTGAACGTACATGGGAAGGAAGTTTTATTGGGGGAAGAGAAGGGAGTGGGGGAAGGGAGAGAGAGTGGGGAGAGAGAAGAGAAAAAGAGAGAGATGGTCAGAGAGAAGAGAAATAGGCAGACAGATCTCTGCCTCCTAAGAGAAATGGTGGAAAGAGAGAGACCAGGAATGGGCGGAGCTCGTCTCTTAAAGGAACCTTTGCACCTGTGTACAGAGCCAGAATACTGCCTGCCATGCAAGCAGGGGTGGCCATTCTGCTAGGTCCCCAAGGGGCAGGGCCAGGTTTTCCTGGATGATAATAATAGCTCAGGGGTAGAATATACTTCCTTGGCAAGTCCGGGGTGAGTTCTGCTCTATCCCTGAGATGGAGAGGTTGAAGGAAGAGAAGGAAAGGGTAGCAACACAAAAAACAAACAAACAAACAAAAAAAACAAAGTAGTTGGGCAATAAGACTTGAAATAAATTTTTATGTTTACAGAGGGGCCAAGAAGATAATGGAGACTGAGTAATTAAAGACAGATATCTAAGTAATTCAGGACAATTTACAGACATTAGTTATATGTTTAAGGAACTAGGAATCACACTCTATGAGAATCCAGAAGAAAATCTGCTTTGGTTTTTATTTTGTTTGTTGTTGTTGTTATCTCATTTTTTTGAGATGGGGTCTCATGTATCCCAGACTATCCCATTGTAGCCTAGGTCCTAGATCCTTGGACAACTTTGAAATCCTCATCCTGCATCCAATTACCAACTACTAGCATTACAGGCATGCACCACCACACCCAGTCGGGAAGACAATTTGATGGCCCTACAGAACTTCAGATCCCACACTCAAAGAGCCAATCAAGCAAAGATGGAAAATATTTGGGGGATTGGGGAGCACACACCTGGAATATGCACACATCCTCTTGTTTCTTTTCATTCTTCCTTTAACAGTACAGTACAACAACTATGTATATAGCCCTTGCATTTATTGAGCAGTATAAATCATCTACAGATGATCTAAAGGATTTGGGAAGATATGCATAGGTTATATGTGAATACTATGCCACGCTAGTATAGAAGCTGTATGGACTTGAATATTCACAGATTTTAGCATGGGGCAGGCAGGTGTCTTGAAACAAATCCTTCAGGAATGAAAAAGGGTTCTGCTACTGTGATGTATATTCTATCTGATAAGCATAATCTACAGTGGCAAAATAAGTTGGTACCAAATTAACCTAAACAATAAATCAGATAATGTAACTCCTAGCATTCGTCCAGTTCCCTTTGTAGTTATGTTTGGTTTCTGTTGCAGTTAACATCACACACCCCAAGAGGCACATTACCTTCAGCATCTTCCCAGGAGGGCTTTTAACCTGTGTCTCCTGTGGCCGAAGAAAGAACACCAGACATTTGAAACTAATTAACTCATTGACAGAGCCTATCATACAATCCTCTTATAGATCCTTCCACTAAGTTAATATTCTATGAGCTTAACTAGGGACTGTTATATACTAGTGACTCTCCCCTCTGCAACCTGCAAGCTCCATTTTATCTTTCCATTAAATACACACATGCATGTACACACACATACAAACGGACATATACATACACGCACATACACACACGCAGGCACACAGGTTTGGAGAGATAGCTCAGTAAGTAAAGTGCTGCTGTGAAAGTGTGGAGCCTGAGTTTGGATCCCCCAACACCCATATAAAATATGTAACAGTGCAGGCCGATAATCCCAGCATCAGGAAAGCTGACACAGGCATGTCTTTGCTTCCTGGCCAGCAAGTTTAGCCCAATCAGGGGATCCCAGGTTCATTAGGAGAGGCTGTCTCAACAAACACTCTACGTTTGACCTCTGACCTCCACATGCACTTACACATATACACATACACATGTGTCCTCACACATAACACACATACACAGTGGTGGGAGTCACATACATACCTGTAGTTACAGCTACAGGGGAGGCCAAAACAAGGAAGACCTGGGGGATGTGGGGTGGGGAGTGAAAGAGAAAGAGAGAGAGAAAGGGGGCCGTAGGGCAACCCTTTAATAGAATACATTCTTCCAGCATGTCTCATACAGCCGCACCCTGACTGATTACTTGGCATAGATTTTCAACTTTATAACGGTATAAATGTATACTTATGCAACCATCTGCTTTTCACTTTGAGTACAATATTCAGTGAGTTATGTGGCACATAACACTCCCATAAAATAGTCTTGGTCTTGGATGGTTTTGTTCACTGAAGACTAACAAGTGTTCTGCGTATGTTAAGGTGGGTGGGGCTACACTAGGATGGCCAATACTTTGGGTGCCCTCAGTGTCCTTTTGACTTATGATATTTTGATGTGCTATGGGTCTATCAGGATGTAACCCCTTCATCAGCGGAGTTGCATCTGTGTACAGCTGTGCAGCTGGGGTTGGTTGGCTGACGTCTCCAGTCTCCACGGGTTTCTTTCAGACCTTTAAGAAAGATATGTGAGCACAGTTTGGCCTCTCCAAGGCCATTCAGAACCAACCGTGCAACCTGTCCATTCCATCTCGCCCCTCTCATGGGAATCACAACTACATACAAAAGCAAAGGGACACTGCCTTTATAACACACTAGCCAAAAGAGACCAGCTTTGGCCAGAACAGAAGCCATCCTGGTGACCAGAGGATTATATATATATAAAGGTAGCAGACGAGAGAAGGTGCCACGTCAGGAGGACTTGGAGGAAGAGGGTGGTAAAGCTGGCGTATAGAGCAGGGGTCAGAATCAGGTAGAGGAGCCGGAAGTGTGAGTTGATTCTTGGGTAGAAATAGTGCTTTGCTGCTGGGAGTAGAAGAAGGGACCGTGGAGGAATCAAGCAGGAAACCAAGGAAAGAAGAAGAGAACTGAGAGAGAGAAGCACTGGACCTGATGGGGAGGAGGCCCACACAGGGTGCACACCCTGCAGCTTCAGTGCTATTTCCCCAAGGAAGGAAGGGTGTCATGGGATGATCTTTTTTTTTTTTGTTTTTGTTTTTGTTTTTGTTTTTCGAGACAAGGTTTCTCTGTGGCTTTGGAGGCTGTCCTGGAACTAGCTCTTGTAGACCAGGCTGGCCTCGAACTCACAGAAATCCGCCTGCCTCTGCCTCCCAAGTGCTGGGATTAAAGGCGTGTGCCACCAACACCCGGCCTGGGGATGATCTCTTTGTACACTGTGAAGATGTGTCTCCACCAAGGCGCCTTCTGACTGGTTTAATAAAAGAGCTGACTGGCCTGTAGCTAGGCAGGTGGTATAGGCAGGACAGCAAGACACAGAGGACATTGGGCGCAGTCTCTGGAGTCACAGGGGATGCAGAAAGAAGCAAGACACACATGCCGTGTTGAAAGAAGCTTCTGCAGAAGGTAGATAAGAAACATGGGTTAATGTAAAATGTAACTAGTAACAAGGCCGAGCTATCAGCTAAGCATTTATAATTAATATTAAGTCTTCATATTTGGGAACTGGTGGGAGGGAAAGAAAATTTCGCCTACAGAAGGAGGGTCCACATAACTAGCTTGTGTGCCCTAAGCCGACTTCCTCCCTAGACCTGTCTTTCCTCGGGTCGCTGTCCTTACTTAGTTTTTCTTACTTTTCCCCCAGATTTGTGCCCCTTACAGAAGTCGACCTCTGTGCATCACCTCTGTAGCACTTGATGGGAAACTCAAAAGGGAATCCCATCTTTGTGACAACAGCCAGCTCCATCTTTCAGATCCAAGTTAGGGTTTCAGCTACAATTAAGGTCCTAACAGCAAGGCTTCCTTCTCACAGAGGGCTAGAGGGATCTAGCAATGGCCAACAAAATAGGAAACAGAATCTGACTGGGGAGTCAGGAGGTATAGGGAAAGGTGTCTTACGGAAAGGCGTCACACACACCTTCAATCCCAGCACTGGGGAGGCAGAGTCAGGTAGATCTCTATGAAATCAGGCCAGCCTGGTCTACAAAGCAAGTTCCAGGACAGCCAGGGCTGTTACACAGAGAAACCTTGTCTCAAAAGAGAGAGAGAAAGAGAAGGAATGAAAGAAGGAAGGAAGGAAGGAAGGAAGGAAGGAAGGAAGGAAGGAAGGAAGGAAAGAAGGAAGGAGAGAAAAGGCATCAAAGATTGGCAATGTGAGAAGCTGCATAAAAGTATTTACAACATTCATGTCTGTGGCCATGACAGCACCAAAGGCTATACAGAGGCAAAGGTCTGGGCTGCCACCTGAGACCATGTTGATGTCTCAGGACCATGCTCTGTCAGGGCCATACCGATCTGAGCGGCCTGAACTTTAACTTGAGGCCATGCTGATGTCTGGGATGGCCTCCTCCTCACCAACAGTTGAAATGAGAGAGATGGTCTCACCCCTCACCATGCTCTGGAGGAGAGCTGACCTTGATGATAGCGTGGGTGCAATAGATCTGCCTCTGCCCCCCCCAACCTGGGAGGGAGAAGTATCCCCGTGGAGGTCCAGACTGACAAACTTAGCTAGTACCCAGACTCACAATCCAGGGCTTTGAGCTGACCCACCCCAACTTATGCCCCATCTATGACCTCTGGAGAATGCTTAAGGATTTGTGGGAACACAGGCACAGGATCTCCATGACTCAGGACAACAACAGGATATCTGAGAGAAGTTTCAGTGAGGGTCCAGTATTAATGATGTACCAGAAGCCAGAAATCTTGAACCTGACCAATAACTCATTGCAACAAACATTTGCAAGTAAAGCTGTTTGGGCAAAAGAGTCTACTGCATGTAAAGAGGTGATGAAGAGTTGTGAAGACAATGGAAGAAACTGTTTTCTTTCTTTTTCTCCTTCTGATGGTTAGCTACAAGGAAGGACTGGGAAATGAGTGAGATTGGAGTGCATAATGTGAAATTCCCAAAGAATCCATTTAAAACATTATGTTAAAAAAAGGTATTTGCAATACCTGGGCTCTTTTTCAGTATCAGAAAAAAATGTGAAGGTCAACATACTGAATCAATAGAGTCTTTGAGCTGTTCCTGTCATTCATTCTGTTTTGTGATTTTGAGACAGAGTCTGGCAATGTAGCTCAGGTTGGCCTTGAACTCGTCACCCTCCCTCCTCTATCTCTGAGTGTTAGGACTAGAAGACAGTGCCCCAACAACTAGTGTAAAAGGGATCATGAGTGGTGCCGCGCAGACATTTATCTGGAAGAATCCTGTGGGCACTTGGGCTTAAGGTCAACCATATGACTCATGCAACCAACAGAGTTAAGTAGCTGACAAAGACCACTGTCCATTTTAATAAGGTCCTCGGCAGTGGCTGTCAGGAGTAAGGGTAGAATGAAGGCACTTAGTCAGGATAAAGTAAACAAGGGGTACAAAGAAAGGGGGATAGTATCAGCCCTTTGATCTTGGAAATGCAGTCGAAGAGTAGCAGACCCAGGAGGCATCATGTACTTATGACCTGCCAGACAGTCCCTCCAAGTTCTGTTGCACCCCATTCCTCCCATAACCTCTGCAAAGAATACAGTAGGGGGGCTTATCACTTGGAGATTTGGGACACTAGATGCAGTGGGCCTATATACAATATTAGGCAGTCATTCGTTGGCATGTACAGGGAGTTGTTTCAGAACCCACCTTGCCATGGAGATGAAATCCCATGGATTCTGAAGCAATACAGCAAATACTTCATAGGACTTACACAAAACCTACATATCCTTCCACATACTTTAGATCATCTCTCGGTGATTTATGCTACCTGAAACAGGAATGCATGCCATTTAAGTAATTATTACAGTGTGTTGCATAAGGAATGAGGACAAGAAAAAAGTCTGTGACATGTATTATAGAAAAAGTCTATCACATCACAACATAGCACACAGCTACACAGGCACACTGCCCAGACCCTGAGGATAACCGCACTCCATTGGATCATGGCATTTATGCACACTGACATGTGTAACAAACTTACTTCACATCTATGAGACCCTGGGTTTGATCTCCAACACCACAAAAAATGGTGAACATAGGACCAGTAGGGTAGCTCAGAAAGTAAACAAGAACCTATGTAAAAGCAAACAAGAAACTGGGCATACTAATATGTACCTGTAATCCCATCACTAGGGAGGTAGGGAGAGAAAGATCCCTGGGCTGTCAGTCAGCCTCGCCTAGGGAGTTCCAGGCCAGCAGAAGTCCCTGTCTCAAAGAAAAGAAAAAAAGAATCAGGTGGATGGTGCCTGAAGAAATGACATCCAAGGTTGTCTTCTGACTTCAGCACACACACAAAGGTGCACACTTTCGTGCATGTACATACGTGCACACATGCACACACATAAAATGCATGCAAAGATGTGTATTATTGTATAACAAGTGCATCTTATCTGGTTTTCGATCACAAAGGTCCCTTCAGCCACAAACTTTCCCCTGGCTTTTGTAACAACCTGAATTCCAGCCTCGGAGGCTACACCGAGGGATCTGGTTTAAACAAGGATGTGTGGCTTAGAATCCAGTTTGAGAAGCTGGGGGCAGGGCAGGAGGTGGAAGGTCATAAATGACGAAGGTGGGACCTGGAATGAGAAAGGCCACAGGACCACAGGACGCTGGCTTCATTAAACCAGCTTTGCTTCGCTTCTTTTCCCATGTGCTGTGTTGGCGCGCATTTGTCCTCAGCTTTAAGAAGCAGATCTTTTCAGGCTCATTAGTTAACAAATCACACCTCAATCTCCACACCCAGCTATAAAGACTGCCTGGTGCCTAACAGGCAGTAAGGCAAACTAGAAAGCTGAGGCTTAGCTGTATTCCTTCTTCAAAAGTGCTTGCCACTTCCATCCAGGAATTCGATTTTTCAAGTTTTCATAATTACTTCACCCAAATCAGTTTGTGTGGAAACTGCTTTAGGCCAGAATGGTTTTTGCAGACAATTCTTAAGAAACTGCATCGTTCTATCTCACACTATACAATTTTCAGTGAAAGCACACTGATAAAGATCAGCCAGGCCAGTTTCTCCCTCCCCAAGGGCAAATTTCCAGAGTGGTCTGTACCTGCTGGCTGGTCCTCACAGACACACAGTGATGACCTGGCTCTTCTGGAAAGTTTGCAGGCATGTTGACCAAAGAAACTCAGAAATGAGGCAACCAGGGGCATAGGTTGTGGCTTTCTCTTTGGAAGGACAGAGTCTCCTGCTTCTGCCACAAAGCAGGCCAAGGAAGCTCGATTGCTTTCCTAGAGTTCCAGGGACAGGAGACTCTCCTCTCACTAGAGCTGCTACTTCCTCCTTCCGTGTTTACTCAACAACCAGCAAACACTGGTTGTAGATCTATATTAGGCAAGGACCTCTGAAACACTCTTGGGAGATATCAACGTATCCTGAGCCTCTAAGCTCATGGGACAGTAGGCAGTCATTCACAAAGATGGTGACAAGCCAACATAGAAGGGGCTGGACTCAAAAGAAGCCCAAGTTCTGCACATGATAGCAGACCCTACATGTAGCCACACTTGTCTCCCTGGTTGATTCCTCCTATTTCAGAAAGAAGAGGCTCGCTAACATGTAATGAAGAGTGACTGGGAGGCCAGGGAGCTCGGAGGAGGTGATGGGTGAGTTGAGAAGCTAATGGTAACCTGGAAGAAAGAGCTTCAAAGCAGTGGACAATTCTGTATGCCACACCAAGGTTCACATCTGACGCTCCAAGCCCCATAGCTTCATTCTGAAGGTTGTAGAAGGAGTAGAGTGGAACCGATATGCTCATGGATAACCACACTCACCCATTGGCTTTTGGGTGGTGGCTAGTATTGAGACAATGGAGTCCCTACATAGCAAGGGCCCAGCATGCAGAGCACAGTTTTTCTTTAAATATTCAAAATGTATCCTGAGTTTCAGAGCTCTTAAAAAGAATTAACAGCTGTTGGTTGGGTGGGTGGTTAATTTGGTTTTTGGTTTTTCAAGACAGGGTTTCTCTATCCTGGAACTCACTCTGTAGACCAAGCTGGCCTCGAACACACAGAGATCTGCCTTCCTCTATCTTTCAAGTGTTTGGATTAAAGGCATGCACCACCCCGCCTCCAGCGCCACATTCTTACACAAGTCCCTCTGGGTTCCACATGTTGACACACTATACTGGTTGTGAGGTGGGTCCAAACCCTTGCATCTCTGGTCTCAGTGGTAAAAATGAGAGAACATACAACCTCATAAGGCTGACACGAGTAACCTCTAGGAAAGTGTGTGGTTCAGTGGCAGTCCAGCATTGTGAGCCAATGCACTGCTGCAGTTCACATGACCCTATCACACACCTCTCTCCTACAACTCCTCCTTCCTTGGGCTTCTGTGGCTTTGACTGACTCTTCCTTTGACAGTTCCATTTCAGATTACTTTACAACTTACTCTTCTTCCTCTCACTTCATGGAGTCCTTCAGAGTGCTCAGAAGCCCCAAACCCCATCCATGAGCCATGACACCGGTTATTGCCTCAATGTAGACTAGTCATAGCCTGTCTCTGAGGCCCAGTCTCCTCCCGCCACAGGACCTGAGCACTCTCCCAAGTCACGTCAGCATCTCAGATCCCACTTGCCTTCTTCCCCGGACCTGTTCCTTCAGAAGTGCTCTTTGACAGCAACTCCCCCACTCCACCCACACTGAAGACCCCCCTCCTCTCTCTAGTGCTCCACATCTAGTGCTCCACATCTAGGGAAGCAGTGAAGTCCAGCCTGACCCCTCCTCAGCAGCTCCAAATCGCCATCTCATTCTTCCCTCACCACCCCCACATCTTATTATGGTCACTGCAGCTATGGCAACCCCCTCCCAAGGACCTCGCTGCCTCTGGTATGTGTGTTATCTGTACTTCCCTTTGCTCAAGTCCCACACACCATAGAAAACTGACCTCACGCTGTTCAGAGTTGAGAAAAGCCATTCAGCTTGAGTTTTCTCCACCTACCACCCCTCCAAGCCTCCTTCTGTATCTGCTGGCGTCCTCAGTTCTTCTCTTGGCCAGCCTAATCTCTTCTTCACTCCACGTTCCTGCCTGTTATCTGTACCCCAGATTTCCCTCTCATCCACACTTACCCCTCCACTATACACACGAAATTCTGATTCCCATTCTCATAGTCAAGGGTCAATGCCAAAGGCAAAGGGATTCCCACCAGGGCTGGAAAAATAAATGTGTTAGCTGCCAATGCCAACACCCGGACTATCATCTGGCACATAAAATATAACCAGGTATCACTGCCCGTCTGAGAAAACCAACAGTTGAGTGACAAACACCGAACTCAAGGCACTGAGGAAATTAGACCCTGGGGAAATAAGCACCACAGGAAAGAGGAGAATGCTAAATTAAGTATAATTAGTGTCTTGGGAGAGGTGTGAGAGGATGCAAAATCCACCAATGACTGGCTGCTCTGAAGAAGATACCAGACTGCTGGGAAATTGAACACACAATTGCTCAATGAGAACTCAGCTGATGGAACCTGTCACACAAGACTGTCCTGAACGGTGAGTCAACTGAATGAAAGCGTGGACTGATTTGCCCAAGATAGAGGTCAAAGGTTAAGAGATTTGATGTGAGGGTTACAAAGTAAGGGCCCAGCAGGTAAAGGCACTTGCTGCCAAGCAGGACAACGGGAGTTTGAGTCCCAAGACCTACACGATAAAAGGAATGAAATGACTCCTGAAAGTTGACCTTTCGCTTCCACACATATCATGGCATCACGACACACATACAAACTCATGCACAAATAAATTCTTAATTTTTTTCAAAGAAAGCAACATGAGGGAAGAACATAAGTAAGTAAGGGACACAAAGACATGGGTCACAGCCATGCATCCTTTGAACAACCCAGGACCTAGTAAGACCGAGAAGACAAATGCATTTCACAAGAAAGATTCAAGCTTTTCTACCTTTTTGAGCTAAAGTAGTTTTCAGATTATTAAATAATGTGGAAAAAACATTGAAGAACCCATGGCGAGTAGCTGTCATTTCCATTATTAGAAAATTTATTACATAATATATATGTGTGTGTGTGTGTGTGTATGTATGTATAAACAGTAATAGTTTATTACCGTTTCTCCTCCCCCACCCACCAGTTTAGAGACAAGATCTCACTGGGTAGCCCTGGTTGACCTTGAACATGCAATCATTCCGCCTTTGCCTCTGAGTGAAGGGATTCACAGGCCTGCACCACCACATCTGGCAAGCATCCTTCACATGGCACTATTTGCTTCATGTGAAACAAATGGATTCTCTTCTCAGTCTCTCAGATCTTTCTCTCTCTCTTGAGGAAACACACACAGCCTTTCAACTCCCTTCACGCATCCTCTCATCACGTGGAGCCCTCTCCACAGGCTCAGCGCCTGTGCTGTTTGCAGGCTGTGAGAGGGGCCTCTTGGAAGGCAGTCCATCCAGCACACACCCAGGGCAGAGCTTAACAAACAAAAGATGAGCGGATGCTCACTCAACCAGGCACCCTCTCTCCCACACCTCTGCTGCCTCGTGTGTGTGTGTGTGTGTGTGTGTGTGTGTGTGTGTGTGTGTGTGTGTGTGTCCTGCTGATCAAGAGTGTTCTGTTCCTGGGCTGAAGGGTTCTTCAAGCAAGAGGTTTGATTGGGCACTGCTGGAGGCATGCCCCCTGCAGTTGCCAGGAGGGAGGAGGAAGAAAGTGTAAGTGGACCGCGATAACAGGAAGTAGAGTCGGTCTCACAGAAGTACAGTGTAAGGAACAGGGTGTCTCACCAGTCAGCAGAAGCCCCAAGGGGGCCCCAAGAGCAGCCCCTGTTCATAGTGAGCAGGATCGGAAAAGCAGCTTTGAGAGTCTTACATTCTGCCCAGCTAGGCATAGGTCACATCCCAGCCCACCCTCAAATGCCTGTGTCCTCTGTTTCTAAAATGTCCACGTACCAAAAAGGGAAGCCTTGGGGAAGAGCATCAAGTCCAATCAGGAACTTTGTGTTCCCTAGATAATCTGGAGGAGGAGCCCAAAACGGCCGGGGTGCAAGCCAAGGTCAATGCCACATGGCTGAGTGTCCTCTCCCTAGGGTTAAGATACAAGACTGAAAGTTCACAGCAAGAAAGGGCAGAGCAAGAAGCCAGCCAAGCTGGCTGCTCAGAGTGAACCTGACGTCCAGGAGAATGCTGGAGCTGGGAAGTGTACGTTGGCACCTACGCTCAGGGAGGTGGCCATTCTGAGTATCCATGCCTCCCACTGACCTTCCCTCACTCCTCACTAAGTGTCATTCTCCTGCCTCTTACTACCAAGCTGGGCTATATGAACCTGCCAATAGTCCATTGTGTTTGTCCTTTAAAAGGGGTGATTTCATGTGCTCTAAGAAAAGGCTTCATCATAATTTTGAAGGCAGAGTTTGCCTATCCTTTGCCCATTACTTTGAAGACCATGCCATGCAGGAGATGAAAGAAATACAAACCAGGGAGACTGGTGGTTCTGTGCACTTATTTTCGCCTTGGCAAGTAATTCACCTGATGTGGGATGTCCTTCTGTGTGTTGTGAATATGTGTTGCTTTTATTGGTTGACGAATAAAGCTGATGCGGAAGGATGCCCCACATCATCCACTAGTAGTTTCTTAGAAAGTTCCTCTACAGCCCCTAAGCAAAAATTAATTTGTAAGATCTTTCATTACTAAAACGGGACCCTCTGTAGTCGAGGCACAAGTACTACACACATAAAGAAAAACAAAACAAAGCAGTGGTTTGACTGGTACCTCCTGGTGCCACTAACTAGCAGACTCGACAGAGCAATCTCAGTAGGAATATACTGTTGGTCTCATTTCAAAAAATTAAGAAATTCTTGTAGAGTTTTGATTTGTTTCGTTTTGTTTGTAGTGGCAGCAGTTTCATTTTGTGTTTGCTTGTTTTCTGAGACAGGATCTCTCTACATAGCCATGGCTGTCCTGGAACTCACCCTGTAGACCAGGCTGGCCTCAAACATAAGAGATCCACCTGCCTCTGCCTCCCCAGTGCTGGCAATTAATGTGTGCTACCATATGTGCTGTTATTATAGAGTAACAGCAATTTTTTTTTGGTGTTTCAAGACAGGGTTTCTCTGTGGCTTTGGAGGCTGTCCTGGAACTAGCTCTTGTAGACCAGTCTGGTCTCGAACTCACAGAGATCCACCTGCCTCTGCCTCTTGAGTGCTGGGATTAAAGGTGTGCACCACCACTGCCCGAGCAGCAGCATTTTTTTTAAATTACAGCCATGCAACAGGCACTCAGGTGTCTGAAGTAGGAGGAACATGAATTCAAGGCCAGCCT